TCTCTCTCTCTCTCTCTCTCTCTCTCTATCTAATCTATCTATCTAGAGGATTGCTTGGAGTTGGTTCATGAACAGGAAATAGGAAATATGCAGGGATTGGGATGCTCTCAAAGAAATCCAAGGAGAAGAAAGCTTGCAGCTTGGAAGCAGTGCATTTGGAGCATCCTACTCCCTTAAAGGGCATGGTCTAGGGGATACTGGAAGCTATAGTCCGAAAGAGAGCATGGATATGCTATTGTGTGTTTTGTTTGCTGGGGGAGTCCTTTTGCATATGTGCTGTAGCGTCTTTTTATTTTTTGGCTTTTTAAGTCTCTTCCGCTGTCTTTTTTCTTGTTTTTATGAGTGATGGTCACTCGTTGGCCTGACAGGTGTATTGTGTCCAAATTTGGTGTCAATTCGTCCAGCGGTTTTTGAGTTATGTTAATCCCACAAACTAACATTACATTTTTATTTATATATCTAGCTGTCCCCTGCCACGCATTGCTGTGGCCCAGACTAGTGATCTGGAAAATAAAGTAATGAGAAATTGTTGGTTTCTAATATATGTAATTTCTTTATGCTTGTGGGTGAACAGTATTTGACTATGTTTTCTTGCCCCGGTGAAGGGAGTTGGACTGGATGGCCTTAAGTATTTTCTATTGGTCATAGGGGTTCTGTGTGGAAAGTTTGGCCCAATTCTATCATTCGTGGTGTTCAGAATGCTCTTTGATTGTAGGTGAACTATAAATCCCAGTAACTACAACTCCAAAATGTCAAGGCCTATTTCCCCCAAAACTCCATCTGTGTTCCTAGTTGGGCACATGGAATATTCGTGCCAAATTAGGTCCAGATCCATCATTGTTGGGAGTCCACAGTGCTCTCTGCATGTAGATGAACTACAACTCCCAAACTCAACGTCAATGCCCACTAAACCATTCTAGTATTGTCTGTTGGTCATGGGAGTCCTGCGTGCCACGTTTGGTTCAATTCCGTCATTGGTGGTGTTCAGAATGCTCTTTAATAATATTAATAATAATAAACTTTATTTATACCCCGCTGTGCTGTCACGCGCTGGGCCTATAATAATTGTCTTTTGAACAGGACGTTCTGTTTGTGCCCAGCGGGAAGCTGGGTTGCCTTGGCTGAGAGGACCTAAGGATTTTCCTATACAAAAGTCTTTAGATGCTTGAAAGGTTTAACAAAGTCCTTTATTATTGCTTAGATCTTCAACAATTTAAACAAACACTTCTCAGATCTTCAACAAGTCAAACAAATGCTTCTTAACTTGCCCAAATGGACAGGTAACTGGCTTTGTGAACTGTTTCTTTTTTTTTTTTAAGGAAAACCCTTTTTAACCCCTCCCAGGCAATCTACTTTCTATGCTTGCTGGTGTGGGCTCTACTCGTGGCTCCAGTTGCTTCTGGTTACCCAAGTAGACCTACCAGACAAGGCTTTGTAGATTCTCCAGCTGGAGTTCTTTTGGATCTTTTCCACGAAAGATGTGGAGCTGTTTCCCCTGGATGCTGTGAGAAACGAAGCTTGTCTACAGATGGAGCTGATCCACGTCCTGTAGCTAAGCTTTCCACTATAAGACTGAACTAAAAATGGCTCCCTTTCCCTCCCAGAGTCCTGGAAAAAGGGGCAGAACCAAAACTTAAAAATGATAGACAGGTCATTGGCCCTATAATTGCAAACCAAGGGAAGCCACCTTACTTCAAAATGCATGGAACCTTGGAATATATGCAAACACTCAATAGAAAGAAAATGAAGCTGAAGCTCCTGGTACAGCCATGCCAGCACACCCGCCACCATCTCCCCAATGGGGACTCGGGGCGGTTTACATGAGCCCTAGCCCAAACAACATATCACAGCAAATAAAACCGATTGTAGGTTAATTATAAATCCCAGCAACTACAACTCTCAAATAACAAACTCAATTTTTTTTTTGAGTCATGGTCACTCCTTGGGTTAGTAGGTGTCGTGTGGCCAAATTTGGTGGCAATTCGTCCAGTGGTTTTCGAGTTATGTTAATCCCACAAACGAACATTACATTTTTATTTATAAGACTAGCCATCCCTTGCCATGCGTTGCTATGCCCCACTCTGTATATATGTTCTTTGTGTGTGTATATATGTGTGTTTGCGTATATATATGTGGTTTTGCACATGCGTTGTAATGTATTTTTTAATTTTTTTGGCTTTTTAAGTCTCTTCTGCTATGTTTTTCAGTGTTTTTATGAGTGATGGTCACTCATTGGCCTAATAGGTGTATTGTGTTCAAATTTGGTGTCAATTCATCCAGTGGTTTTTGAGTTATGTAAATCCCACAAATGAACATTACATTTTTATTTATATACTAGTTGTCCCCTGCCACGCGTTGCTGTGGCCTACATGGGGGTTCTGTGTGGGAGGTTTGGCCAATTCTATCGTTGGTGAGATTCAGAATGCTCTGTGATTGTAGTTGAACTACAAATCCCAGGAACTACAACTCCCAAATGCCAAGATTCTAGTTTCCCCAAACTCTACCAGTGTTCACATTTGGACATATTGAGTATTCGTGTAGAGTTTAGTCCACAGTGATCTTGGGATGTAGGTGAACTACAACTCCAAAACCAAAGGGCACTGCCCACCAGTATTTTCTGTTGGTCATGGGAGGTCTGTATGCCAAGTTTGGTTCAATTCCATAATTGGTGGAGTTCAGAATGCTCTTTGATTGTAGGTTAACTATAAATCCCAGCAACTACAACTCCCAAATGACAAAATCAAATGTGAAGGACATACACTGGGTTGTTAGGTGTATGCTTTCCAAACCTGGTGTCAGTTTGTTCAGTGGTTTTTGAGTTATGTTTATCCCACAAACGAACATTACATTTTATTTATATAGGTAGTAACATATTATATAGTAATCTATGTAACAGTAATATATAAAATATTGTAATTATAGCTCATATATATATATATATATATATATATATATATATATACTTTATTTGTACCCCGCTACCAGCTTACATGAGGCCAAGCCCGCAGTACATCAATAAAACAAAGGCAGTAACAAAATAATCAATACAAAACAGTAAAATAAATCTCATAAACAAAAAAATAAAATAAACAATAACAATAACATATAATCATTTAAAAAACCTATGGCTGGGCCAAATGTAATAATTTAAAAATTAAAAAAATAATGCTGGGCATGAACACAGTAGGGTATAACTAGCATAGGGTTTTCAAAGAAAAATGAGGGTGCGCAGACAATCCTAAATCAATGTTAAAGTGCATTTGAGGACATATTGCTAAGAGTTTTCCTTATTCTGGGAAGGCACACTGGAACAACCACGTTTTCAGGCTCCTAAAAACTGCCAGTGTTGGGGCATGTCTGATATCCTTAGGAAGTGAGTTCCAGAGTCGGGGGGCCACCACAGATAAAGCCCTCTCCCTCGTCCCCACCAGTCGCGCCTGCAAAAGAGGTGGGAGCGTGAGCAGGGCCTCTCCAGATGATCGAAGAGATCGTCTGGGTTCGTACACAGAAATGTTCCCCCAATTCTGTTGTTGGTGGGGTTCAGAATGCTCTTTGATTGTAGGTGAAATATAAATCCCAGTAACTACTGCAACGCACTCTACATGGGGTTGCCCTTGAAGACTGTTCGGAAACTTCAACTGGTCCAGCGAGCGGCAGCCAGATTGCTCACCGGAGCGTTATACAGGGAGCACACCACCCCACTGCTGTGTCAGCTCCACTGGCTGCCGGTTCAATTCCGAGCACAATTCAAGGTGCTGGTTTTGACCTACAAAACCCTATATGGTTCCGGTCCAGCGTATCTGTCCGAACGCATCTTCCTCTACGTCCCACCCCGGAGTTTGAGATCATCTGGGAGGCCCTGCTCTCGACCCCACCGCTATCGCAAGTGAGGTTGGTGGGGACGAGGAGCAGGGCCTTCTCAGTGGTGGCCCCTCACCTGTGGAACTCACTCCTGGGGAAAATTAGGTCATCATCATCCCTCCTCTCCTTCAGGAGGAAATTAAAAATGTGGTTGTGGGACCAAGCCTTCGGGCAATCTGACAACTAGATAAGGACAATCAGACAACTAGGACTGACAGGACTGACAAAGTGGAATTGGAATTTGGACTATGAGATGGCGAACGCTGAGCGTTAATTAGGTGGAATTGGTTTTACTGGTTTTATTGGGTTTTTATTGTTGTAATGCAGAAACTGATTGTTAATTGTTTAATTGCTGCTATATTGTTTTTATCCTACTGTTTGTTGATGCCGGCATCGAACTGTACCTTTGTAAGCCGCCCCGAGTCCCCTCCGGGGTGAGAAGGGCGGGGTAGAAGTAACTGAAATAAAATAAAAATAAAAATAACGACAACTTCCAAAAGTCAAGGTCTATTTCCCACAACCTTCATCTGTGTTCATATTTGGGCATATGGAATATTCATGCCAATTTTGGTTCAGATCCATCATTGTTTGAGTCCACAGTGATTTCTGGATGTAGGTGAACTACAACTCCAAAACCAAAGGACACTGCCCACCAAACCCTTCCAGTTTTTTCTGTTGGTCACGGGAGAACTGTGTGCCAAGTTGGGTTCAATTCCATCGTTGGTGGGGTTCAGAATGCTCTTTGATTGTAGGCGAACTATAAATCCCAGCAACTAAAACTCCCAAATGACAAAATCATTATTTTTTTTAGTGAAGGACATACATTGGGTTGTTAGGTGTATGCTGTCCAAATTTGGTGTCAATTTGTCCAGTGGTTTTTGAGTTAGGGTTATCCCACAAACGAACATTACATTTTTCTTTATATAGATTCTAAGGTTCCATTTTAACATTCCCTGTCCTATCAGGAGGTGTGGCTTATTTGCATAAAGGGGGCGGGGGCCAGCATGATTGGGAAGCCAATAGGAAAAGTAAGCTGTTGAAAAGATTCCATTCTGACATTCCCCGTCCTCTTAGGGGGTGGCTAATTTGCATAAAGGGGCGGGGGCAAACGGGCTGGATGCCTTGCTCTATATAAATCCAGGAGGCGGCGTGACAGTTAAGACGGAAAGGCAGCGTTGTTTTCATACCGTTTGGCTTCTCAGCTGCCTTGCCTTCCCTGAAATCGCCTATTCTGATACACAACTGGGTGCCATCCTCTGTCTGCATTTTCCTTCCCTGAAAGAGAGAGAAAAGAAGGGAGCGGGAGGGACCATGAAAGCCATCAGCCCGGTGCGTTCGGTGCGGAGCTGCTTGGAGGCGGTGTGCTGCCTGTCGGAGCAGAGCCTGGGCATCGCGCGCGGGAGCGGCCTGGCCCTGGGTAAGGCTTGCCCCTCGGCCGAGGAGCCGGCCAGCCTGCTGGACGACATGAACGGCTGCTACTCCAAGCTGCGCGAGCTGGTCCCGGGCATCCCGCAGGGCAGCCAGCTCAGCCAAGTCGAGATCCTTCAGCACGTCATCGACTACATCTTCGACCTCCAGATCGTGCTCCAGGAGCAGGCCCAGGAGAAAAAGAGCAGGAGCAGGAAGGACACGGCCGGCCAGCCCGCAGCCCTCCAAGTAAGTCCGCGAGCAGACAACAGCTTGGGCTTCTGGACTCCCAACTCCCACCATTCCTAACAGCAACCTACTGGTACATTTAACCGCTTGGAATGTCCTATGGGAGAGATAAAACAGGGTATCAATAAATATCATCATCATCATAAATATAATAATCATAATAAAAATGTTTAAAATGTAGTCATAATAATTTGATAAATGTAATAATACATATAATAAGGTATAGTAATAAATATAGCAATAATCTATCTATATAAATAAAAATGTAATGTTCGTTTGTGGGATTAACAGAACTCAAAAACCAGTGGGACAATTGACACCAAATTTGGACAGCATACACTAACAACCCAATGTATGTCCTTCACTAAAAAAATTGATTTTATCATTTGGGAGTTGTAGTTTCTGGGATTTATAGTTCACCTACAATCAAAGAGCATTCCGAACTCCACCAATTATGGCACTGAACCATTCTTGGGGCACGGAACTCCCATGGCCAACAGAAAATACTACAAGGGTTTGGTGCGCATTGACCTTGAGTTTGGGAGTTGTAGTTTACATACACCCAGAGAGCACTTTGGACTCAAACAATGATGGATCTGGACCAAACTTGACACAAATATTCCATATGCCCAAATGTGAATACTGGTGGAGTTTGGGGAAAATAGACCCTGACATTTGGGAGTTGTAGTTTCTGGGATTTATAGTTCACCTACAATCAAAGCATTCTGAACTCCACCAATTATGGCATTGAACCAATCTTGGGGCACGGAACTCCCATGACCAACAGAAAATACTACAAGGGTTTGGTGGGCATTGACCTTGAGTTTGGGAGTTGTAGTTTACTTACACCCAGAGAGCACTTTGGACTCAAACAATGATGGATTTGGACCAAACTTGGCACAAATATTCCATATGCCCAAATGTGAATACTGGTGGAGTTTGGGGGAAATAGACCCTGACATTTGGGAGTTGTAGTTTCTGGGATTTATAGTTCACCTACAATCAAAGAGCATGCTGAACCCCACCAATGACAGAATTGGGACAAACTTCTCACACAGAACCCCATACTTAAGGCCATCCAGTCCAACTCCCTTCACCAGGGCAAGAAAACGTAACCAAAGCCCTCCTGACAAAGAGCCATCCAGCCGTAGATATAGAAAGATATATATGAGTCACACAGATATAGTATCATCGATTTGAAAGGAACCTTTAAAGAAGGACAATTATATTTCACATGTTCCAGAGTAGGCAAACCAGACAATCTCCACATCAACACTGACATAGAAACAACATAGAATACTGTTGTTTACCCATAAGCATAAAGGAACTTCATATATTAGAAACCATTACTTTATTTTCCAGATCACCAGACTGGGCCACAGCAACGCGTGGCAGGGGACGACTAGTGTAATAATAAATATAATAATCATAATAATATATAATAGTAATAATAATATAACTATATTCATTATTATATTATTATGATATGCCGGTGGCACAGTGGGTTAAAGTGCTGAGCTGCTGAGATTGTTGACTGAAAGATCACAGGTTCGAATCCGGGAGCCGTGTGGGCTTCTGCCAACCTAGCAGTTCTAAAACATGCAAATGTGAGTAGATCAATAGGTACCGCTCTGGTGGGAAGGTAACCGCTCCATGCAGTCAGGCTGGCCACATGACCTAGGAGGTGTCTATGGACAATGCCGGCTCTTCGGCTTAGAAATGGAGATGAGCACCACATCCCAGTCGGACACGACTGGACTTAATATCAGGGGAAAACTTTTACCTTTACCTAACTATGGCTGGATGGCCCTCTGTTGGGAGGGATCGGATGGTGTCTTCCTCTATGGCAGTGATATAACTATCATATATAGTTCTCGCAATCCTATCTGTCTGTCTACCATCTCTTTCTCATGATATTACTATTATTGTTGTTGTTATTGTTATTATTATTATTATTAGTATGAGCACCACACCCCAGAGTCGGACACAACTAGACTTAATGTCAGAGGAAAACCTTTACCTTAATATTCCAAAATCGTGGCAGATCTGCAGAAGTCTGGTCACTTGCTTGTTTCTCAGGAAAAGGGAAAGGATTGTTTTGGCATTTTAGAAGTTTCAGGGGAAAACCTTTACCTAATAATAAATATAGTAATAAATATAATAATGTAAAGTAATAAATAGGGTCATAACTTAATATTTGTAATAATAAATATAATAATGTTATAACAATATAATATAAATATCAAAAATAAATGTAAGAAATAGTGATAATAACAAATGTAATAATAAATATAATGATGTATAGTAATAAATACAGTAATAATTTAATAATAAATATAAAATGTAATAAATAGAGTGATAATAATAAATGTAATAAATATAATAATGTATAGTAATAAATATAGCAATAATGTAATAATAAGTATAATAAAAATAGTAATAAATATAGTGTTAATAAGAAAAAATATAATAATAAATATAATGTATAGTAATAATTTAATAATAATAATAGCTTGAATTGGAGCAGCCCTCTTCCTTCTTCAGACCTTGTAATAAATATAGTGTTACTAAGAATAAATGTAATAATAAATATAATGTATAGTAATAATTTAATAATAATAATAATAATAATAATAATAATAATAATAGCTTGACTTGGAGCAGTCCTCTTCCTTCTTCAGACCTTGCTAGGTAGAGTCTATGTTACTTCTTGGGTGCAAAAATTATGGTTATAATTTTTTGTTTTTTCTATCCAGGGTGCCCAATTCAACTTGTGATAATAAATATAATAGCAATAATAAATTAGACTAGTTGTCTAATATATGGGTCTTCACTGCCAGGTAATCAGGGACAAGCAGATCATCTGGGATCAGGTCCTGGGATATCAGGACCATGTAGAACAGGCATGGGACAATTTTGGCCCTCTGGGTGTTTTGGACTACAACTCCCACCATTCCTAACAGCCAGTAGTCCAAAAAACCTGAAAGGCCGAAGTTGGCCCATGCCTGTGTTCCCAATCAATGACTATGATGCGCCATGCAAGACTGGGGACCAGGCGAATGGCAACCCAACTCACAGCCCTTGAAAAGCCCAGGAAAGTCAACGGGCGTGTTGGCATAATCTCTGCCAGCCTGGTATCTTATCTGCAGTCAAACTAGAAAATATTCACAGTTACAATCTATCAAATGAAGCCAGGAAGGTTAAGCAGGAGCCCTGGAAAAGCAGGGGTGTGTAGAAGGCAGCCTATACAGCTCTGAACTACTGCAAAGAAAGGTTTAGAGGCAGGTGGGATTGGTTGAAGGTCGCAGTTTTATGTTGAAAATCCCACCTTCACATCCGAAATGTCCATCTGTCACAAGGGGGAAAAAGGCCCTTCAAAAGGAGCTGTTCTCCTTAGGGACTGAACAGTTTCCAGTAAACGAACTGAAGTTGCAGCCCAAGAAATTCAGGTTGTTGCTCTGCAGGAAATGTGCTGAGTGTTAGGGCCCTTCCATACAGCCATATGACTCAGAATATCAGATCATTCACAATATCTGCTTTGAACTGGACTATCTGAGTCCACACTGCCAGATAATCCAGTTCAGTGTTTTGTGGTGTGCAAAACAACAAAAACAATGTATTGCCGAAGGCTTTCATGGCTGGAATCACTGGGTTGTTGTGTTTTTTCCAGGCTGTATGAACAAAATCTGGCTACCAGTATTAAAAAACTAAAATTACAACAGCAAAACAACAGAGAGGAAACAATCAGGGACATCTAATCACCTCTCAACAAAAGATTCCCCCAGGCACTGCCAGGCCATCAAATGCTAATCAAGGTGGTCAGTTGAAACATTCACACCTCGCTCCAACAGACAAGAGTTCTTTGTCCCACCCTGGTCATTCCACAGATATATAAACCCACTTTCCTAGTTCCAACAGACCTCGCTACCTCTGAGGATGCTTGCCATAGACGCAGGCGAAACGTCAGGAGAGAATGCCTCCAGAACATGGCCATATAGCCCGAAAAAACCTACAACAACCCAATATTCCAGTAGCATTCTCTCCTGACGTTTTGCCTGCATCTATGGCAGGCATCCTTAGAGGTTGTGAGGTCTGTTGGAAACTAGAAAATGGGGTTTATATATCTGTGGAATGCCGAAAAACCACCTTCTGTTCCTGTGAATACTTCCTTTTTGGCCTTGTCATCCATCAATTTATAACCTAGACCATTGTCTTTTTAACTTCCATTCTATGTCTGATTTTTAAGATGCATTTTATGGAAATCCGTCTTCATCTGTGTGTTTTACAGAGTGTTTTGAAACGGTTCTGTGGTTTGATTCTGTGCTTTGGCAGTGTTGTAAGTAACCTGCCTCGAGCCGTGAGAAGAGGGGAGTAAGAAATAAAATTATTCTGATTCTTACTCATCCCCTTTTCTCCTTTCCTTCTGCAGGCAGCAGAACTTGCCTCCGAACTCTGCTCAAAGGAAGAGAGTCCCTGCCATTAGCCTTGAACAGGTACGGCGAAGGGAGATCTCTGGGGAATTTATTATGCCAGCCTCTCTTTCCCTGCTCTAGTGTAATATTTTATGTGTAGAACATACATAGAGTCTAGAAGTGGAGTCACCCTCCCAAGTACCAAACCCAAAGGGTGCTTCTCCCAAGTGGTCCCTTTTCTTCATCCTGGACAGAAGTGATAAGTGGAGTGGGTTTGGTCCTGGGCCTAATTCTGTTCAATATTAATGACTTGGATGAAGGTTTAGAGGGCAGGCTGATCAAGTTTGCAGGTGACACCAAACTGGGAGGGAGAGCTAATACTCCAGAGGACAGGATCAGGATTCAGAAGGACCTTCACAGACGAGAGAGCTGATTGGCCAAAACTAGCAAAAAGGTGTGATACAGCAGCTCAAAAAGCCAATGAGATTTTGGGCTGCATCCAAATAATATTATCCAGATTGAGAGAAGTCATGGTGCCTCTCTCTTCTGCGATGGTCAGACCTCTTTACCTGGAATCACACTGTGTCCAATTCTGGGCACCACAGTTTAAGGACAGATATTGACTCTAAGCTGGAAGGAGTCCAGAGAAAGAGGGCAACTAAAATAATCAAAGGTCTGGAGACCATTAATAATCCGTTTGAGGAGCATCTTAATGAACTGGGTCTGTTTAGCCTGCAGAACAGAAGTTTGAGAGGAAGAGACATGTGTAAATATATGAAACGGTGTTACAAGGAAGAGGGAGCAGAGGCTTCCTATCTGCTGCCCTGGAAACTAGGACTTAATGGTGCCATGAGTTCAAATTAGAGGAAATGAGATTCCACCTGAACATTAAGAAGAACTTCCTGATCATAAGGAGAGCTGTTCAACAGTGGAACACTTTGCCTCAGAATGCAGTGGAAGCTCCTTCCTTGGAAACTTTTAAACCAGTGGTTCCCAACCCGTTTTTGACCAGGGACCGGTTTAACCAGGAACCACTCTTCAACATTAGTACCAAAAGGGTTACAAATCAGTTTTTGGTCAACTTTAGATTTGGTTTGGGTGCAGATTCAAAAAATTGTATTTGGTAGACCACATCAGCTCTAGTTTCTGATACAGAACATATGGTATGGTCAGCGACAGGGAAACAGCGCCAGGTGGCACGAAAGGAGCAGACTCATAGAATCATAGAGTTGGAAGAGACCTCATGGGCCATCCAGTCCAACCCCCTGCCAAGAAGCAGGAAAATTGCATTCAAAGCACCCTCGACTGATGGCCACCCAGCATGTGTTTAAAAGCTTCCAAAGAAGGAGACTCCACCACACTCCGGGGCAGAGAGTTCCACTTCTGAATGGCTCTCACAGTTAAGAAGTTCTTCCTAATGTTCAGGTGGAATTTCCTTTCCTGTAGTTTGATGCCATCGTTCCACGTCCTAGTCTCCAGGGAAGCAGAAAACAAGCTCGCTCCCTATGACTTCCTCTCATGTATTTATACAGGAAATAAAACAAAATAAAATAAAGAGAAAGGAGGCTTGCAGACCAGATTTTTGTCCTTGCGGCCCACTGGTGGTCCTCGGTCCACAGGTTAAGAACCACTGTTTTAAATGGAAGCTGGATTGGCCCTCTGTCAGGGGGTGCTTTGATTGTGCTTTTCCTGCAGGGCAGGAGGGGGTTGGACTCGATGGCCCATGTTTTCTTTTCCAACTCTGGCCCTTTCCACACAGCTGAATAAAATCCCACATTCTCTGCTTTGAACTGGAATATATAGCAGTGTGGACTCAGATAACCCAGTTTGAAACAGACATTGTGGGATTTTTCTGCCTTGATATTCTGGGTCAGGGGTCCACAAACTTTTTAAACAGAGGGCCAGGTTATAGTCCTTCAAACTATTGGAGGGCCGGATTATAATTTGAAAAAAATAATGAATGAATTCCTATGCGCAGTGCACGTATCTTATTTGTAGTGCAAAAAGCACTTTAGAACAATACAATAATTAAAATGGAGAACAATTTAAACACATATAAACTTATTAGTATTTCATTAGGAAGTGTGGGCCTGCTTTTTGCTGATGAGATAGGATTGTTGTTGTGTGCTTTCAAGTCGTTTCAGGTTGACCCTGAACGAGGGCCAGGTAAATGACCTTGGAGGGCCGTATTCGGCCCCCGGGCCGTAGTTTGAGGACCCCTGTTCTGGGTGGAATGGCCCTCTATGATTCTATATCAGGCTTGGGCAAACTTCGGCCCTCCCTCAAGGTGTTTTGGACTTCAACTCCTGCCATTCCTAACAGCCTCAGGCTCTTTCAACTCCCATAATTCCTAACAGCCTCAGAACTCTGAGGCTGTTAGGAATGGTGGGAGTTGAAGTCCAAAACACCTGGAAGGAGGGCCAAAGTTTGCCCAAGCCTGATATAGAATCATAGAATAATAGAGGGCCTTTCCACACAGCCACATAACCCATAGTTTGCCCATAGACTCCCTCCTCTCCCTGATTTGGAGTCCTTTTGCCAGCAAGGCAGCCTCTGCAGAGATGCCTCTTTTCTTTTGCCTGTAAATGGAGTCATTATTTTTACAGTGTCATTCTTTTAATAGCTTGAAGCCTGTGCAGCTGCTAAAACAGCCCTGTTGAAATCAGTGAATTAAAAGGCACTCTGCCCTCTCCTTCTCTCTCCCCCTCCACACTTTAGTCAGGAAGCTGTGTGCTAAACACTGCTCGACACTGCTCCCCCACCCCCTAGCACAGAAATAAAATAAATCCTGGCTCCATCTGTAGCGAGTTAGGAAGGGAAGGGTCCTTCTTTCTCCTCCTCCTCCCCTCCTTTTTTGCCTGCCTCTCCTCTTTTGCTTGTCTTGGGTGTTTTTGGTGCCAATTAGCAAACCTTCAGCTTGAGTGTTGGCTCCTGATTCCTTATCAGCTGGAGGTAAATAGAAGTTTCCTCTCTGGCGCCAGGATGTCTGCAGTCCTGCCTCTGATCTGTTGTTGAAACTGACATACATGCCTTTCTTTGCTCCCTCCTCCCATTCAGGCTGCAGGTGTGGGATCCTGGCACTTGGTTCTCTCCAGCAAGAGAGAGAAAGAAAGAGAAGATAGAAGGGAGGGGAAAAGAAGAGACCTTGGCTGGAGAATGGATCCGATGATGTTTTAACCCTCCTGCGCCCAATCCTAGAGGAGCCTCTTCTTCTGCCTTTATCCTCCAGATAAACTTGTCTGCGGAACATAGACATCCAAGGCCATTTCAGATGCCTTGATACTCAGTTTTCTAATACCCCCTCTTTTTAAAATCAGCAATAACTGATAAGTTATCACTGATAAGGGTTATGGGCCCAGCACGCTTCCGCTGTGCAACTATGCTAAATGGCTCCTCTGGTTCCCCCCCCCCCCCCATCTGTATAAAAAACAACAACAAAAACTGCTGGGTAAAGCAATAATAATAATAAAAATAGAACCATCTCTCCTCTTTCCACGATTCAAATTAATCATCAGATCATTGCATTAACACAGGAAGAAACTTGGCATCCCCAGCAGGATGTTTTTTTTAAAAAAAATAATGGGTGGAAGAAGCGGTATCGGAGTCCTCTGCTTTTATGCTGAATGCGCCCGGTTTTCTGGTTGGACATCTCCACGAACTGTGGATTGCGTGCTTCCACTGTGGCAACCTTCCCTGAAAGAGGTGGACCAATTTGGAAAGTCAAGGAAAGAAAGGGCAGGGCCAAAACTCCTGCAGATAGTAAACTTTTGTGTATATTTTGGATTATAGTTTTTTAACATTGGTTTTTGGGAAGGAAGGAAGGGGCGTCGAAGAATACCAACAGAACTCTCCTGGGGCTCTTTCTTGGCCTCGCGGTGTTTTTTTCCCCCTTAGTTGTTGAACTCTATAATAGAGATAACAAGCGTACCTTTTTATTTTGCAGGAAGGTGAATTTCTGCATCCCTATGTTGTACTTACTTTGTTAAAAAAACTTTTTATAAAAGTTTGTTACATAATAAATTTTAAACTTGACTTTATCTTCTTCTCTCAGAAATGTGTATTTGAGAACACATCAGCAGATACAACAAGCCTATGGCACATTAATCTTTTAGAACAAACACAGCATGCACACAAACCATGAAGAACATGGGCAGTTGCTTTTATACTTGTACTATAATAATAATAAACTTTATTTATACCCCATCTCCATCTCCCCAATGGGGACTCGGGATGGTTTACATGAGACCAAGCCTTAAAAACATATACATGAAGACAAATAAAACCAAAACGCCAACAACAATGGAGAAACATACATACAGTAAACAATATAGAAAAAAATCATTCACAATCACAATAATGATGAGCAGGTCGCATGTCTATATAAATAAAAATATCATGTTCGTTTGTGGGATTAACAGAACTCAAAAAGCACTGGGCGAATGGCCACCAAATTTGGACACAAGACACCTAACAACCCAATGTATGTCCTTCACTCAAAAAAATGGATTTTGTCATTTGGGAGTTGTAGCTGCTGGGATGTATAGTTCACCTACAATCAAAGCATTCTGAACATTCTGGAAGGGTTTGGTGGACATTGAGTTTGGGAGTTGTAGTTCACCTCCATCCAGAGAGCACTGTGGACTCAATGATGGATCTGGACCAAACTTGGCATGAATACGCCATATGACGAAATATGAACACAGATGGAGTGTGGGGGGAAAAGACCTTGACATTTGAGAGTTGTAGTTACTGGGATTTATAGTTCACCTACAATCAAGGAGCATTCTGAACCCCACCAACGATAGATTTGGGCTAAACCTCCCACACAGAACACCCTCAACCAACAGAAAATACTGTGTTTTCTGGTGGTCTTTGGAGACCCTTCTGACAACCCCTCATGACTCCCCCCCCCCTTCCAGGTCCCGACCCCCAGGTTGAGAAATGCTGACTGAAGGCCATCGAGTTCAACTCCCTTCACCAGGGAAAGAAAACATAATGAAAGCCCTCTTGACAAACGGCCATCCAGCCATAGATATAGGTAGATATGATTCACACGCACACATATATATGTCTTTGACAGATATAGTATCCTAGATTTGAAAGGGACCACTAAAGAAGGACAATTATATGTTGCATGTTCCAGAGTGGGCAAACCATACCATCTTGACACCAACACTGACAAAGAAACAAGAAGTACTGTTTACCCACAAGCATCAAGAAATCACATATATTAGAAACCAACACTTTCTCATTACTTTATTTTCCAGATCACCAGACTCGGCCACAGCAACGCATGGCAGGGAACAGCTAGTACAAGATAAAATATTAAAACTCAGGGTGAGATAGAAGTGGACTGGGGCATAATTATTTGTGAGGGAGAAATTCATAAAGAATCAGGGTCATCTAGAACAGCCCATCATACAGGAGGGGGGGGGGATGTACTTGAGGGACAAGACGTTGAGGGGAGCAATAATGTACAATTTCATGGTTACTCTCTGAAAGTGCAACAGAAAAGCCAGGTTTTGAGATTCTTCTTTAAGGTTTCTAAGGTGGGGGCATGCCTAATTTCACCAGGCAGTGAGTTCCAGAGCTTGGGGACCCGGCGTTGCCTGGGCTGTTTTTAAAAAGTCATTTTTTAATTGTACAACATGCATAAGGTTGTGGGTGAACTACAACTCACATCATGTTAGGTTAACCCTAAGAAACTCTGTCAGTACTTAAAAGTTGGTTATGTTGTGCAAGTTTGCTCTAGATCAATGGTTCTCAACCTGTTCAACATCTTTATTAATGACTTAGATGAAGGGCTAGAAGGCAGGATCATCAAGTTTGCAGACGACATCAAATTGGTAGGGATAGCCAATACTCCAGAGGACAGGAGCAGGATTCAAAATGATCTTGACAGATTAGAGAGATGGGCCAAAACTAACAAAATGAAGTTCAACAGGGACAAATGCAAGGTACTCCACTTAGACAGAAAAAACGAAATGCAAAGATACAGAATGGGGGACAATACCTGGCTCGAGAGCAGTACGTGTGAAAAAGATCTTGGAGTTCTTGTGGACAACAAGTTAAACATGAGCCAACAATGTGATGTGGCGGCAAAAAAAGCCAATAGGAGCATAGTGTCTAGATCTAGGGAAGTCACACTACCCCTCTATTCCGCTTTGGTTAGACCACATCTGGAATATTTGTGTCCAATTCTGGGCACCACAACTGAAGAGAGATATTGACAAGCTGGAATGTGTCCAGAGGAGGGCGACTAAAATGATCAAGGGTCTGGAGAACAAGCCCTATGAGGAGCGGCTTAAGGAGCTGGGCATGTTTAGCCTGAAGAACAGAAGGCTGAGAGGTGATATGATAGCCATGTATAAATATGTGAGCGGAAGCCACCGGGAGGAGGGAGCAAGCTTATTTTCTGCTTCCCTGGAGACTAGGAAGCGGAACAATGGCTTCAAACAACAAGAAAGGAGATTCCATCTGAACATGAGGAAGAACTTCCTGACTGTGAGAGCCGTTCAGCAATGGAACTCTCTGTCCCGGAGTGTGGTGGAGGCTCCTTCTTTGGAAGCTTTTAAACAGAGGCTGGATGGCCATCTGTCAGGGGTGCTTTGAATGCAATATTCCTGCTTCTTGGCAGGGGGTTGGACTGGATGGCCCATGAGGTCTCTTCCAACTCTTTGATTCTAATTCTATGATTCTAGGACCCCCAAGTTGCGGACCTGTGTCCTCAGAGGGAGTGCCACCCCATCGAGCACAGGAAGACACCCTATGCCCCAATCTGTCCCACGACTGGCCAGGAGGACCTCTGTTTTGTCAGGATTATGCTTCAGCTTGTTAGCCCTCATCCAGCCCATCACAGCTGCCAGGCACTGGTCTAGGACCCGAGCGGCTGCCTTGGAATCTGGTGGAAAAGATATTATATTCATACCCTGCTTTATCTCCACAAAGGGGCATATTGCCAATATGCCTTGTACTATAAGAAGGAACTTCTAACACTGAGATCTGAGGAAACTCCAGCTTCGGTGTATGCAAACTGATTTGGATTGCACCCCCATGCAATGATCCAGTTACTGAGGCAATGGTCAGAAAATGAGAGGTTATTCTCAAAGGCATTTCTCACTGACAAACATGACCTGCGATTAACCTGTGGCAGATACAGGGACAGTCCCTGTGTGGTGAAGGGCAGCTTGAAGGTATGCAGATGATCCTTTGGGGTGAAAAGCGGAAGCATTTGGCACAAGGAGCATGACTCACTTAGGTTTTGCTTTACAACCATGGTTTCTCATAAACCGGGCTCCAGAGATCTGTATGCAGATGACTGGAGCAAGGACCTCGAAAACCAAGCAGACTACTAGACCCACTACTGAAGTTTGCTGATTTGATCCACCCCCAGTTCAGTATTCTGAACACTGTGGCTGATTTTAGCAGACATTGAGATTTCCCTGCCATGTTTTTGACAAAGGCATCATTACAGGGGCCTCTGGGAAGTTTTCGAGCATGACTCACTTGAGCTTCTGTATTGCACCAATGATTTTGCATCAACCTGGGTTCAGAGATCTGTATGTGGAGGAAAGAAGCAAAGACCCTAAAAAACAACAACAACATCCCTTGCCCCAAGCAAGGAGGATGGTGGAAGTTACAGTCTCTAAATGCAACTTTTTCAACATCTCAGTATGACTGTCTGGGAAAACTCAGAGGCACAGATTGAGCCAGATTTGGCCCACAGCCTGAGGCTCCTCACTCCAATGTCCTGTTTTACCACCTCATCACACTGAGAAGGGAAAGCACAGGTGACCATCCTTTTAATGTAGAGAATCACTCATTATTTATTTATTTATTTATTTGCTTTATTTCTATACCGCATTTTTCAGCCCTTAACAGGCGACTCAATGCGGTTTACATGGTACAATTATCAAACAGTGTCAGTGCAATTAAAACATAACAATGCAACAAACAGGATCAACAGCATCAATCCACAACAGTTAACAATCAACAAGACAGAACAACAAAACACACATAACATAACGCCTCAGTTGAAATCAGATCCGTTCTCATAATCCTTGTGCCATTCCTATGTTCCATTTACCGTCTTCCTATGATTGGTTGCACTGCTTAACCAAACGCTTGTTCATAAAGCCAGGTCTTAACCATTCTCCGAAACGTCAGCAGCGAAGGTGCCTGTCTGATGTCTGCCGGTAGGACATTCCATAGCCGAGGGGCCACCACTGAGAAGAAAGAGCGAAGAAAGAGGGGCCAGGGGACAGTTCCACCTTGTCTCCTGTGCTATTCTAATAATATGTTATAATATAATATATTGTATATACATATAATATTTATAATATTGTAATGTAATGCAATATAATACTAGTAATTCTTTTTAAATGCATAATGATTTTGTATTCTGTATATCTAAACTGTTGTAAACTGCTCTGAGTCGCCTAAGGGCTGAGAAGAGTGGTATACAAATAAAGTAAATAAATAAATAGTCATTCTGTCCACCTTTAGACAGAAAGTTATGAATGAGGTTTGTAGTTAGATTAACGTTTTGTTTTAATGAATTTGTGGATTGTTCTTGTCATTATGATGGCACCGAATGGTGTTTGCTGTGAGGCTGCCCTGAGTCCCCCCTCAGGGCTGGGAAGCGAGTTCCAGAAGTGGGCGGTCACCACCGAGAAGGCCCTGTCCCTCATCCCCACCAGACGTGTTTGTGAGACTGGTGGGACCAAGAGCATATCAGTCATTTTGATGTATTTACTGTATTTTAATTCTGTTTTTACCACACTCTTATAATTTAACTTTAAAAACTTATATATTGCTCTTTTTTAACTAATGTGGAACTTCCTAACTGTGAGAGCTGTTCAACAGTGGAACCCTCTGCCTCGGAGTGCTGTGGAGGCTCCTTTGGAGGCTTTTAAACAGAGGCTTTTAAACAGATGTCAGGGGTGCTTTGAATGCAATTTTCCTGCTTCTTGGCAGAATGAGGTTGGTGTGGATGACCCACGAGGTCTCCTCCAACTCTAGGATTCTGTGATTCTAG